CAAGCAGGAGATCACTAAATGGTGACAGAGGCATTGGCTCCTTTGAAGAGGATAGCACCAGAGGCAAGTAGTGTGACCCAAGAGGCTGTTGAGCTCCAGAGCTCATTGGGACGGGCTGTCTCCCTGAAGTATCCAAGCTCCTGCACCTCCAACACAAAGCCTCTCATCACCTGTCTGACTAAGGTGCCACAGGCATTGGTAATATCCACGGGTTCTGATCATGGTTGGGCTCGTGTTCACAATTCTGGTCCAAAATCAAGATTGCAAAATTTTGCTTGAAGCTGTTCATAGTGTTAACGTCAGAACAGCTATAATGATGAAGTATGGTTAATTCTAGAATCAGTAGACTAGGGGAATTCATACTAGAGCAGAAAAAAAGAGAACAAGACCACAACTCTGAACCATGGTTTTGTGATCAGGAATGTTACATCTGCATCAAGCTTTCTTCAACTTCATTGGTACCCATCTGCATTCAATCAGAGCTTTAATGCTTGATAATTGGAATTCTTTCCTATATTGTACACTTGACTTGCTCGCTCATTAGAATGTATTGTGTTCAGTTGACTAATAACATCTGATTGACCGAAAAAGTCCAGAATGAAAGAGAGTGGAGAAAATGTGCCACTCTGAGATAATTGAATATAAATTTGGCTTAGTGGTCTTCTCCTAACCATTGTCCTTTCTTTGTTACTCCTGCAGCACAGTCCTCTCTTACTTCAGATTCTCTTGTTCCTCATACAGCTACTGTGCATTTCAGGTTTTGTTTTTAAAAAAATATAGCTATTCAGCTTCTACACCCCTTTTTCTGTCTTTGCTGCCTATGCACCGGTTAAAATGACTTATGCAGGAATCTCTAACCATTCAGAATCAATTAGAACGTTTGGAATTTTGAGGTAGAGTTATGGGGACTCTCAGAAAATGGATGCTGTGAATGCACTGGTTCATTCATAAAATGGCTGCCATGATGGAAATGACTGGCCATAAAGTACTCATTTCCTAGAGAGCAAAGTGGTAAAATTGAAACAAGTCCCTTGCCCAAGAACCTATGTACAAGGTGGAAACATCAAGGCATCCATAACATCAAATCACTCTTTGGAACCCAAGCAAAGATGGTGCTGCAGCATAGCAGCTTCCTGGTTATATTGGAGACTCCAAGCTTAAGGAATCCACCAATGACTTTTGGAAGCCTTAGTATCCAATAACTGGCTATGTTAATGGTTGCTCTGGAAGGTCTTCATGCAGGCTTCATCTTAAAAAGGCTTAGTGCCTGAAGAGTGCTTCCCCATCCCCCATTAGACTTACAGCTGGAGGGTTCCTGGTGCCACCAGTGAGAAGGAAATGTGCAGCAAGCCCATCCTATGTTCATTTAAGAAATACATTTTCTTCAAAATATCACCAATATAATACTATACAGCAATACCAACGAAGTGTGACGAAGAACAAATATAGGATATTGCATATGATACTGAGAACAGTCAGTATCATATGCAATTTTCTATAAAGTTATTTAATTTGGCCTTTTTTGTATTGTCTGTTCCCTCACTTTACTTAAGGAATAGGGCCAGAAGGTTGAGACTGCTTTAGGAGGTTTAGGATAGAGGCTTTCCACCACCAGTCCATGGGCTGGCACTGATTTGCTGGAAATTTCCTGCCAGTTCACATCCCGCTTGCTGAAAACTGGCTCTATCTCCTCTCCCTCACATTTGTTGGGGGGGGGGGGGCGGGGGGGGGGGGGGCAAGTAGGTGTGAGATGGCTTGATGAGAGCCAGCTGGGAGCCACACCATGCCAATTCAGTATTTTGTTCTTTTGTGAGCATTTTTTGTTGCTCATTTTCTGGTTTTGCAGAATTTTCATTTTTTTGGTATTGTGTTTGGAACCTAATACACAGAATACTGTATTGGGTGTATGGTGCTTTTAGTTTCTGCTTCCTGAAGTGGTTTTCCTGTTTTTGCCAGTCCCAAGCTGCGGAAAGGTCGAAAACCACTGCTTTAGGAACCTCTAAAACAGTATTCATATAATGAAGGATAACAAGATTCCACAACATTGTTGCTGTTGCTGTTTAACCAGAGCCCCTTTGAAAATTAGATTGGACTTTGAAGTGTTCAAATAAAGATATATTCCTAAAGTTCTTGTACTGGTTCCTCAGAATGAACCCCACACTTGATGCCCAGTAACAAAAGCACTGCAAGAAGCAATACAATAAATCTTTATAGAAGATTGACTTAGGAATATAAAGATGGAGGCACAAAGCCCCACTTACATAAGTGGTGGAGGTCACTTGGTGCTTAGGAATCTACCCCGGCATCTCTGTCACCTCGCACAGCTCCAGTTGCTTGAGCTGGAAAGCAACTGGAGCCAGAAAGAGGTAAATCTGTGATAGTCGAATTGAGTTCAGTTTGCAGTCTGCGACTTAGCTGAAATCTTTTGGAAGCCTTAGTATTCAATAACTGGCAACGTTAAAGGTTGCTCTGGAATCGTCCTGGCTTTGTATCTCAACCTCACAGGCCAAATTTGGCCCACTTCGGGCCCCCTTCAGTTCCTTGTTAAGATTCCTCCAGTGACAATGCCTTTTTCCCCTGCTCCTGCCCTATTTTCTCTGTGTTTATTTGGTGGTTTCTGCCTTTTGGCCTTTTCTTCCCCATTCTGAAAGGCTGAAATTCTCCTAAGGAAGAACATAATAAAAACCATGCTAAACACTGATTGACTTAATGGTGGCCAGAAGAAATTTTGTGCTTTATTGTAATTTTTTAAGATACGTATACTATATTTCTGTAATATTCTTTAGTATTCTTTTTCTTACATTTTTCATTTTTTTCTTTTCTGTTTTTTACTTCTGTTTTATGAAAATAAGGAAAAATAAAAAATAAAGAAACAAAGATTAAGGTTTGATTAATGATTCAGGGTGATAGTAGTAGGAAATCTCCTTCTGGAAGCATCCTTTAAACATTACATATTTTGTGCTTCATACTATGAAGACACTGAGATATGAAATGTACAGCTTCCATATTTTGCATGTTGCCAGTGTTGTACATCCAGCTATGAGGAATGCTTGACACATTTATATTAATGTGTGATTTGAATCTTCTTCTGCATATTAGAGTGAGTAAGAGTTAAATAAACTTTCTACATTTTTATTGCTAATAAAAACACTTTAGCAATGCTAATCAGATGTACTGATTTTGTGTTTTGATTTTCCTTAATAATTAAGCAAAAAAACTAGGATGCAATCAAGTATTACACTAGGGGGTTCATGCAAATAGTTGGGTCTTTTTTTTAACACTGATTTTTCTGTTAAATGCATTCAAAAGGAAATTTATTGACATTTCAAAAAAGGAAATACAATTTATTCTCATAATCTGTTTTAATAAGGGAAATCACCACTTCATTGGAAATGAAACTGTAAATATACCATTTTATTCCTATTTAACATAACTCACTAACTACAATAATAAAATGTGGTAAGATTATTGTACTTTGATTCTCAAGAAGTTTGCAAACTCTCCCTGTGCTTAGACGAAAAGGCTGAAAGAAGGACTGAAAGAAATATTGAGCCCTTCCTTTGCATGCATCTTAACCCAGCCTGCCACTTTGTGTTGGTTTTCCTTTGGCTGAGCTCAAGCACAGGAACGAGCCTAGTTCTTTGCAGTTCTGGATTTACCACCTATGCACCTTTATTCCTCTTCAGACTCTGCTTTCTGTATCATTGCAGTTGACCTGAGTGGCCGCACAACCATTATGACATCTGGTTAGGTCATCCAGTGGTGCTTTACACAGACTGAACTTCAAACCATGGTTTGTCATTCCTAAAACATGGTTTCCCTCTTGTACAATTTGGAAATTCAAGTCACGATGTTGATTTTTTTTACTATTGTTACAAGGCACAGTTTGGTAACTGCATGATTCCCGAATTGAGCCACATTGTTATGTCAGAGCAGCAATTCTGGTCTGCTTTTATGCATCATTCCTGTTTGCTTTTGCTATGCTGGTCTCATTTGTGCTGCTTGCAATAAGCGTGTAAATTGTAAAGAACAAATACTCATTCTGTGCAAATAATGGTATTTGCCAGGAAGTTAGGGCCCGTCAGGAACAGATGTATTCCTAAAAGCATCTGGTGCCATTCTCTTTAGTACATTTCCTCCTCTTCCACTGATGGACATGGGAGCAGAAAGACTGCAAACCACTGATAGACTGGCTTCTTATAAAATAGCAAAAAGACAGGATAGGTATCACCAAGGAAAACAAAAGAGGGCACCAATTTTCATAGAATGTGCATGTGCTAATTTATATGACTAGCTGCAACTCTAGAAATTACTCCTATAATTTTAAAAGTATGAACTATGATACTCATCATAGTGAGAAAGTCTACAACTGCTTCACTCTCCAATCTGCCCAGCTGCAGTTGACGGGCAACTACAAGGCTCAGCTCTTCTTTCTGATGGTTCTTTTCTTTAAACCAGACTTGGCTTGGATAGCCCTTCAGACAGATGGCACTTTCAAAATGGTGGACACTCTTCTGCCAGTCCTCTAAATAGAGGACTGTCCTATGCAACAGAGGACATATGGCCACTCAGTGCAATCACTTTTCACTCAGTGAAAGTAGAGAAAACTACCATCCTGTATCCATGTATTTTAAAGTCAGTCTTCTTGAACTCAGTGGGGCCACCTGACTGGAAATGTGTAGGATTGTGCTGTGTTCAGTTACTTATGAAATAGACTAGATTAGACAACATGACCTAAATATGGTCTGCAGCCACTCATAGTACCCCTGCCAAGTTGTAAAGGATGAAGTTTATCTCTCAGCTCCTGCATGCCTCTGAAAACAGGCATTTTTGTTGAAAGGTTTCCATTTATCATTCCTACAACAACACACCTTCATCATTGTTTATTGGGCCTGCCTGCTGCTAAAACTAACATTTTAAAAGGTCTTGCTACAGACATAAATTCGTACTTTCATTTTTTCCTTTGTCATGATACTGCCTGAAGCAGGAAGTTTTACCCTGCCATGTAGCAGGGCCAGCCTCAGTTGTACCAAGCATAGTTTTGATGCAGCTTCTTTAGTACCTTACAATAATATTAGCAAATATTTCCTCTTTCCTCACAGGGCTTTTCCGTTGAAATGATGATTCTTTACCTGGACCAATTTGTTCCTTTTCCACTTATACTTTTGTACCACTGGACTGTCATTACTCTATCCCTAAATCTTGAGGATCCAAATGTGTGCAGCCACTGGGAGAGGTAAAAATTATGTATTTTTCTCTGTTAGTTTATATTTGTTCTAGTTCTTTTGATTAAATGTGTATATTACAGTATTAACTTATGAGAACAAGCTGTGGACTATATTCTGAAATTACTATATAGGAAACATGTGTAAAGGGAGTCAAATACACATAATTAATGGAAAACGGGGGGAAGAAATGAGGGAGAAAATCAGTATGATGGGGTCTCAGTTGGAGATCACAGACAGCTCCATCTCTGACCACAGCCCAAGCACAATGGCCACTCCTCAGGGGTGGCCCATCATTTTCTTCTCTGGCTTTCCCACCCAGAAACCCTCCCGTGTGACCCCCTCTTGGCCCTTCCTTCCTTTATGCGATCGGCAGGCTCAGCCTCTTGTACTCTCCCCAGCATGCCCCGCCCACTCCTGCTGCTGAGCGCCCAGGTGTCCTGCTCCGGAGCGCCTTTGCACTGGTCAGCTGTGGTGGCCTGGGCCATGTTGCGATGATCTCTCAGGAAGACAGCGGCTTGGGCCGAAGGCCATGGGAGAGATGGTTGCAATCATGCCCATGCCATCACTGGGATCTGAATGGGAGGGTAAGGGGGGATTCTGAGTGGCAAGGGGGGCACAGAACAAGACCTCAGGGGCCACATGAAGCTCATAGATCATATGGTGGACCACCTGGTTATAAATGGTTCCCTGTCATCCAGTTAACTCAGTGGAAGAACCTGCATATTTAGAGTTGGAAGCTTTCGAAGTATAAAGCTTTTAAAATCTGCACTATTTATTTATTTAATTTATAATATCTATCTATCTATCTATCTATCTATCTATCTATCTATCTATTTATTTTCTATGCTGTCCAATAGCCAAAGCTTTTGATTATTGTTGGCTTATTTGGTTTTCTTATGGAGTCAGGAAATTCAGAACTATACCATGTATAGGTATAATTTTGGTGCAGTGTTGTTCGTTTTACTGGCCAGGCAGTTCTGGGCCTGAGGAGATGTGCAGAAAGTGGCCACCTCGGTAAAGCAAACAATCCAGTGGCATCATCAAGAATCTGCTATGATAATTTTGCCCAGCATTTTAAGGTGAAAATCACTCAGATTCGTCACGAGCTGGATTTCACAGTCGATAGGGTTCCGTTACAGGAAGCATCCAGAGTCCTGTCTGCTCCAATATTGTTGGATGAGTTCCAGTTGTTACAGCCTGGTGATGTGGACAAGGTGCTTGGACTGGTATGCCTAACCACCTGCTTACTCGACCCTTGTCCTGCCTGGCTACTTACCAAAACCAAACACAGAATTGGTACCTGGGTCTAGGAGGTTATTAATGTTTCTCTGAGGGAGGGCCGGGTCCCTGCCCCTTGAAGGAGGCGGTGATCAGGGACGACCCGAAGAAGGCATCCTTGGACCCAGAGATGACCGCCAGTTATAGACTGGTGGCCAACTTTCTGTTTGTGGGCAAGGTGTTGGAGCTGGTGGTAGCGGGACAACTCCACGCCCTCTTGAATGAAACTGATTATCTGGACCCATTTCAGTCTGGTTTCAGATCCGGTTATGGTACTGAATCTGCCTAGGTCGCCCTGCATGATGACCTGTGCAGGGAGAGGGAGAGTGTCCCTGTTGGTTCTCCTGGACCTTTCAGTGGCTTTCGATACCATCAACCATGCTATCCTTCTGGATAGGCTGGCCTCCTTGGGAGTAGGAAGCACTGCTTGGCAGTGATGATGCTGATTCCAGAAGGTGATGCTGGGGGACTATGGTTTGTGGCATGGCAATGCTGGCAATTGTGGCATGGCAACCACAGGGTTCCATTTTGTCCTCCGTGCTATTTAACATCTACATGAAACCACTGGGAGAGGTCATCAGGAGGTTTGGGCTGAGGAGTCACCAGTACGCTGATGGCACCCAGCTGTACCTCTCTTTTACAACCAATCCAGGTGAGACAGTTGCTGTCCTGAACTGGTGACTGACCAAGGTAATTAAACTGAAACTCAATCCAGATAACACAGAGGTCCTTTTGGTAGATGGTTCAGGTTTTCAGATTTTGGCCCTGTCCTGGATGGGGTTGCACTCCCTCTAAAGGACAGGGTCCGCAGCTTGTGAGTGCTCTTTGACATGGAGCTGTCCCTGGAGGCCCAGGTGCCAGCACTTTCCTTAGGCTTTGGCTGATCCATCAGCTGTGTCCTTTCCTGGATGAGCACTGCCTAGCAACAGTGACACATTTATTTATTTATTAAAACATTTCTATGCCGCCCCTTGCCAAAGCCTCGGGGCGGCTCACAACACAAAATAAAATACAATAAAATACAAAAATAACAATATAAAATTAGCAATATAAAATAAATAACAATATATATATGCTCTGGTAACCTCCTGGTTGGACTATTGTAATGCGCTCTACATGGGGCTGCCCTTAAAGACAATCCGGATGATTCAGTAGGTTCAGAACAGAGCTGCCTGATTGGCTGTTGGGGACCAGTTGTTATTCTCATATAACAGCAGTCCTCTATCAGCTTCACTGGCTTCCAGTTGAAGCCTGGGCCCAATTTAAGGTGCTGGTATTGACCTATAAAGCCCTAAACAGCTTGGGACCAGGATACCTAAAGGGACATCTTTTTCCCTACATGCCCACCCACCCCTCAAGATCTTCAACAGAGGCCCTGCTCTGGGAACCCTCCTTGAAGGATGTTAGGAGAGAACACACTTGAAGGAGGGCCTTCTCTGTGGTGGCGCGCCAGCTATGGAATGCGCTCCCCAGAGAGGCCTGCCTGGCACTGATATTATACGCTTTTTGGCGCCAGGTCAAGGCCTTTTTATTTTTCCATAATATTAACGTTTAATATTTTAACAATGTTTTATGCTCAGTCATGGATTATTTAGTATTATTTGGGTTTATATGTATTTATTGGATTTTGACTTGTAAGCCGTCCAGAGCCCTGCAACATATTGGATGGGATAAAAATACCCAAATAAATAAAAGAAAAAATAAATAAACAAGGGGGTGACAAATAAGTGAAGCATATATGTGGTGTGGTTCTCACCCACTTAGACAGCTAAAGGCTTGATGTGATTATTCCACAAAATACCAAACAAGCAAGCAGAAAATATTTTTTTGTATAATTTTCATGCCTATAAATTGCAATCTTTTCATTTAGCCCTCCGACCAATTTGTTGCATGCTGGAGAAATATAAATACTATAGGTTGTCCCAGAGTATTTTTTCCCTTGTTTAAAAATCCAGATGGCAATGCAAGATACCGGGCAGAAAAATACACCAAAACAAAACCCAATGCAAGTCTGACTAGTGGTTGGTTCTAAGTATAGTCATCTTTTATCTGGCTTCCCATATTCGAGGGTGTGGAAAGATGGAAAAACACTGTTAAATCCACATTCTGGAAACTAACCATACCACTAAGAGTTGTACTGGAATTGTGGTAGGCAGCACAATTAAATCAGTACCTATATACTTACTATCACTTGTATTTTTGAAAATCCAAAGGATAATTGCAACAACTGACTTGAGAACATAACAAAAAAGAGCATCCCGCACTGAATGAATGAAGAATGTGCAGAATGCCAGACAAATATTTCATTTCTTATTTTTTATATTCTATAATGTAAAGATTAGTGTCTTGCGTGCAAGTCATGGCCTTTTGTGGGCATTGTTCCGATAACAGAAAGATAGCATTTCTCATCCAACTGTAGCTTTACATGTTCCTTATACTGCATTTATATTAAAATGCTGTTAACCTCAAACACCTGTCTAAATAACTGAGGCTTTCTAGGACAATCTAATGTTTCCTGAAGTTGCCCAGTGCTGGGTGAGAGCTACTGGGGCATGGGTGGGCACAAGAGGCGGTAGGAAAACAAAATATTGGGTGAAAATATGTGTTGATATGCTTGAGACAAAATGCTCGATATAATTTGTACTTAGCTCTTTACCAAACAAAAAAGTGTACCATTCATTTGGATAGTTTATGATCTTCTATGCAACCCAAGGGATGCAGGTGGTGCAGTGGTTTAAACCGCTGTGCTGCTGGGCCGGTTGATCGAAAGGTTGCCGGTTCAAATCTGCACAATGGGGTGAATTCCCGTTGCTCCGTCCCAGCCAATCTTGCAGTTTGAAAGCATGCAAATGCAAGTAGGTAAAAAGGTACCCCTTCAGTGGGAAGGTAACAGCGTTCCTTGCACCTCAGTGTTTAGTCATGCCGGCCACATGACCATGGAGACTGTCTGTGGACAAATGCTGGCTCCCTCGGCTAGGAAACGGAGATGAGCACCGCCCCCTAGAGTCAGGCATGAGTGGACTTAATGTCAAGGGGAAACCTTTACCTTTACCTTTATGCAACCCAAGGAAAGCAGAAATATTTTGTTTTAAAGATCCTAGGACTAAACTTTCCTCCTTCTATATGTACTTAGCATTCTCTTGTATCTCTGAACCTTTGGTAAGCCTAAATCTTTTTCCTCCTAACCATTACACTTTCTTCAATTTCTCAGCAGTTTAATTATAATACATGCTAAAGAACTTAATTTTGTTCTTGTGCAGTTATTCTGTTACAGTGCAAGAATCCTATCCACATCCTTTTGATCAGATTTACTACACCAGCTGTACTGACATTCTGAACTGGTTCAAATGCACCCGGCACAGGTAATTAAAAAAAAAAAAAACTGTTTTCACATTGCTTTGCTTGGGTAATCCTTTGTAGATGATTGTTGCTTCATGTTTAAAAGAGTGGAGAATAAATCACATGCACTGACATATTGCTAGCACCTGGAAATCAGATCATATGGTCTACCACAATTTATCTGTGGGCATATGGATGCTGGTTATCCTCACTAAGACTACAAAAGATTAAGCTCTGAAGTGATATCTGCGGATTTTGCCAATGATTATTAGGCAAATGAAGATTGTGTGAAGCAGTGTGAAAAGATGTTCCCCCTTTCTCAAGAATTATAGATAGAGTGTAATGTTGATGCAGTGCCATACTGTTATGAACTGAGAACAGAACCTGTTGAGTGCTCTGTAGTGTAGCTTTCCTATATTTTTGCAGGGTTTGTGGTATGGCAATGTCTCACATGAGCCCTTGAGTGTTGTCCTTATCCCGTTCCACCTCTGCTACCATTTCTCAAAGGACTAGCTCACTCCCTCCCACCTCAGAGATGACTGTATTTGGCTGGCCATCTCACTTGCCTCCCTCTCTGAACATCAAGCACAGGCTCTGTACTGAGGTTCTCCCACAACTTCCCCAGACACATCAGCCTCTGCCCACATCACCAGTAAGGGCGCGGGTGCCTGTGCATGCTCCATTCCCTGGTTAAGCAGTCTGATTCCAATAAACAAAGGAGTTTAATTTTTGCCACTTGAAATGAAGTCTAAATTCATAAGCTCCCTGTGCTTGGAAGTGATGATACCTCTACTCTAGGCAAATGTAATTCTTCCACACACAATTTATCCAAGACTCCAGTAAAGTCATGCTCTCCTTCCCTTTCCCAGAAAAGCCCCACAAAACTGCCCTGCTGTGATGGATTATTTTTTCATTGTCCTTTTGGTTCTCTCCTTTTCAGCAATACTTTAGGGACTGTGGTTGGTTCTTCACACTCCAGTAGAAGCAGAACTTGCACTGTCTGTCACAGGGGGTAAACAGAGCGCATAGTCTTCAGTAAAGAAAAATTCTTCTTGAAAAACCATGTAGAAAAGAGACTCCTTCAAATTGTCTCTTTACTTATTGACATGGCATACTTTGTTCTAAGGATCCTAATCTTGCTGAGGAATGATTATATGTTCTGAACAGTTATCTGTTAGCCAGAATTTCTCCCAATTCTTTGGCTCAGTAGGCCACAATTCCACATGAAAGTTAAGCCCAGTGTAATTCATAGATGCATAAGGGAATCAGCTGCACCATATTAACTCTGTGCTGCATTTCAACACTCAGCAATTCACATTTGAATCAGGGTTGCCGGACAGAAATCTAATTCATTCTTCAGCTTGTTTTTGTTTGTCTCCCAACATGCAGAGTAGTTCTGGAAATCCTTGAACACTTCCATGTAAAAGCACTAGTATGAATATTCAGGTTAAAGACAAGTGGGATTTCATTTATAGGTTAATCTACAACACTCTTGAATGTGTATAATTGTTTATTTTCAAAAACACATCAAAACTTTTACATTTCTGTGTTTCAATAGAATCAGTTATCGAACGGCCTACAGACATGGAGAAAAAACTATGTATAGACGGAAATCGCAGTGTTGCCCTGGATTTTATGAAAGCAGGGAAATGTGCATCCGTAAGTATGTTTATTCTTACTAACATCTCATTGGATTTCTCTGTGCTTGAGTTGTCAGAAATTCAGTAGTCTATACTCCTGATGAAGCATGTTAGCATACATTGGTGAGTTCCTGAGCTCCAAGAACACAGGCGCTCAAGTGCATTACCTGGTAACGCAAATGTCTCTTTCAGGGAGAGTGGGTTTTGTGTTGCCTTGTTTGCTTTGTTTTTGTGGTGGTTTGACAGTAGTATCATGAGCTCATGGAAGACATGCCCTTACCGCTCTGTTGAAAGGCAGCCTTGTGGCTTCTACTGGTTTGGGGTAGAGGATTACTCTTTCCTTTCCTACTGGCAACCAGTAAAGAAGAGCAATATGTTTCTTTTTATTAAGAGTCTAATAAGACTGGCTATCATATTTTGTCATCTCCTGTTGGAGAAAAAGACTTTCCATGGTTGTAGATAACTGAAGGGATTATCAGTGAAGCAATTCTTCTGAATGCTTGGGAGCTGCAGTGACAATGCAGCTCTAAGTATGGCTTGCATGTACTGTAGTTGTCACTGAATTGTGGGTAGCTGCTTCAGAGCTCACATTGCTCTGAAGTGCTGCTAGTCCAAGTCTGGTTTAAAGGTAAAATGGACCCTGAGTTGCCCATTAATGCAATACAGTAAGAACAACGGTAATTAACCGTTAGCACCTGGATGGCAAGCCAAACAGGCAGAACCACAGGCGAGCTGGTCACAGTTTTCTTCACTAGGAAATCAAGTTTCCATTTAAATTTCAGGAATGATTAATGTATTTACATTTATTTATATAAATTAGCATATGCATATATTACATAAATCTAGGTCCTCTTTTGTTCTCTTTTTTGCGATAATTCCCAGCTTTGGTGATGCATGTACCCACCCCAATTCTGTAGGTTTTGAAAAAGCCTCACTCAGGGTAAGGAAGTGGCAAATGTTATGCCGCTCTGTCTTTTGTCCTCTTTTTGGGGATGCATAAATTGCCGTGGTACCTTTCAAGTTCTTTGAGGACCTACTCTAATCAGCAGGGAGTCCTTCACTTTGTTTATATAGGCAGTTGAATTGTTTTGAGAGGGGCATTTTGTTATGGCTTTGTTACTAAATGGTCTGCCGTTTTCTTTAGTAGGACAGGAATGTATTTGGGGCTTTGGTCATGCTTTGCTATAAGCTACTTTGAAAATAATGCATACAGGGAAGTAGCATACAAATAAACTGAATAACGATGACCATTGCTTCCATTATAATTTGAAACTATGTTGAACTACAATAGTTCTGAAGTTAAACTCACTACTTTTTCAAGGATTCTTCTTAAGGATACAGTTAAACCCATATATGCCTACCCGGCCTATGCAGGGGGCCCTTCTGTGTGAGCCATCCCCTAGGGAGCTGAGAGGGATGGCTGCTAGGAAGAGGGCCTTTTCTGCAGCTGCTCCCCATATTTGGAATGCTCTCCCCAAGGAGATTTGCCTGGTGCCTTCTTTATACTGTTTTTGGCACCAGGCAAAGACTTTCCTTTTTAAAAAGCATTTTAATAGTTGATGCAATTAAACCTTTGTTTTGCATTTTTATCTCTATTTTATTAGCTTTGTATTTTTTAATTATTAGTTTTATTGTGTTTTTTATCTTATGATTGTTAGCCTCCCAGAGGCACTGTGCCAAAATAGGTGGCATGAGAATGTTTTAAATAAACGAACAAACAAAATATGGATTGGGATTCTTAAATGAAGACATACAAATAAGACTTGGAGCTAGAGTTCCCAGTAAACCTCGTAAAGTATTAAGGTTCTTTAAGCTGTCCCAAATCAATGCACTCTGAAGCAGTGAGACCTATTTATTCCTGTTACATCAGTCTACACGTTTACACACAGTGGGCCTTCCTGTGCAAGTGTTTGGGTTCTCGCACATCTGTTCTCCCTCACTTCATCAAGCAGATTGATAGTAATGTAAAAAGCTGTAGTTTAATTCACCCTCTAAATTCCTTTTCCCTGGATGTGCCAATGCTGATAGATGCACGATGTTTCTGACCGACAGCTCCAGTTGGCAGTTGTAGTTTCTGTCTAGCATCTCTGGTGCCAGGATTAGAAGAGCCACTGATTATTTCTTCAGCTGTCAGTCAGCCAGGAAGATCCTTGAGCGTACGATTAAAAGTGTACAGTGGCTCTCTGAGGCAATGGACAGCAAAAGAGGAAGAGGAAGGGATGCATGGAAAAGAAAGACTATTCTCAGGGCTCTGCCACTCCAAGGTTTCCCATCTGCTTGTTGTTTAAAAAGATGAAACTCTACTCGCATTATTTCCTGGATGCACATAGGAGCCAGAATTATTTAGTTCTCTTGATATGTTCTCTGGTGAGCAGGAAGGGACTGTCAGCATGTATGTAAAACAGCTATATGGACTAGAGACAAAGCTCACCAAAGGGGTATCTGTGGTATGAAGAAAGTCTCTGGTTTACTCCTCTGCATCTCCATTTAAATCCTCAGTGGCAGCCTTGGGAAGGAGTCCTTGCTCAAGACCTCAGAAAGCCACCACAGTCCATGTAGATGTTAGTGGGACAGACAGACTATGCTCTGACACACAGCGGGGCAGCTTCATATAATAATTGGTGCTCAGAAACCATTTCTCAGTACCCTTGGGAAAAACCATTACATTTTATTTTAAGGTCACAGGCAAAGAGGAGATGCCAAACAGGTTAAATGCCTGATGCTAACCATTCTATCCTCCATAATAAACTATACTTTCAAAGTCCTTTAACATCCTCCCACATATGGTCTTAAAATTTCCTGCAAACCGTGGCACAAACACACCCATTATACCTTCATAAAATGCTGCAAGTCTTTGAACGCAGCCCAGAAGTAAATATTCTTACAGCTGCTCCTAGTGTGTAACGTATCTCCTTAGCAGCTGTGCTGCCTTTTAAGCTTCTGATACATGAAGAACCGAAACTTATTATGCAGTTCCCATTTAATGCTGCATCTTCATATTGCCATAGCCATGCAGATTTGCATTAATAGTAGGACCTGGAGAAAAAGGATTGTAAGAACAGGAAAAAGGAATAATAAATAGGGGAAAGAGGGACAAGAAGGTTGCATACACTGCCGCTTGTGCTGTTTGACCAAATATCCTTTCAGCCTTGGGCTGCTTGCATTAGTGAATCTAAGGGAGAAATGTCTTTTTAACTCCTTATACAGGCTAGATACACACAGCATGCATTTACAAAGCATGGTAAAAGATGGAAGGGAGAGTTTTTATCCCTTTGGAGTGGAAATGCTTATCTGCAATAATAATAGTAGGAACAGAACCAGGAAGCCATTGAAGATACCCTTGCTAATGATGTTTACTAAAGCTGAAAGTCACAGGGAAAAAACCTTTAATGCACCTGCTTTTAGGAAATGTTAATATTATTTCCTATGAATGCTTTACATCACTGGAATCTGTGCTTATGATCTTGATGTAGGAAAGTTTTTGCATTCTTTCCGTTTTTTAATTTTTTCCTTTTTTTGGTCCCTGAATGTAGTGAAGCTTTGGCCATCATGGTGCCTTCATCATAACTGAAAAAATGTGGCACAAATACCAACAGTTGAGGAAGGAAGAAAAATAGGATGTCAAATACAATTGGTTAATAAATGGCTGGGTGGGTTGTATGTAATGAAAATGATAAAGTAAGAAAATCAGAGAAGGAAAATGCAAAATATTAGCTGTTTTTGTGTGCCTTGGCTTTAAAGTACATAATGCTCTTTTCCCTTATTTGGTATATGGATAACCCTGGAGGCATCACAGTGTGATTCCTGCTGAAAGTTAAAATCTGGAGAGGACAATCTATGGTTATTAATTACCTAGTCAGTGTGAGATTATACAAAAATTATACAATACATATGATGTTTTTCTTTTTTTAAGGGAATCTGTAGACAATAAAAGCAGCTAGATTATTAAAATATTAGAGGTTTCCCCCTCTAATTCAACATTTTTATTCTTCTTGGTTTCTCTGTGTGTCTCTGACAGCTCACTGTGCTGATAAATGCATCCATGGCCGTTGTATTGCTCCAAACACCTGTCAGTGTGAGCCTGGCTGGGGTGGACCCAACTGCTCCAGTGGTAAGTCTGCATCTGCTGCTGTCCATCTCAAGCTCCGTCTGTTCCGTTGTCCTTCTTTGCAGAAGTGTTTTCTGTGCAGCATTTCCTGTACTTGTCTGAGTTATTGACTCTGATGTACATGAAAGTATAGGGCCTCTGGGTGTGTGATCCAGTTTCCCTGTTTTCTCTTTATTAAAGTGCAGAATGTGCCAATTATCAGCAAATAAAACCACTTGTGAATTTGTTTCCTGACCCACAGACAGGGCTTTTAACAGGTTACCTGGGAATGGATGATCTGAAAAGCCAAATCACAACAATGAAATAATGACCGAACAGCAATAAGCTCCCGACCTTGGAAATATCTCCAATACCAAACAAGCTTGAAAATATTTTCTAATTTCTGGGAAATTAAAAGCAAGAGAGGACTTCTAGTTATACAGATTTCTTGATAAAGTTCCATAACCTTAACTGGAGGATTATATTTAAAATTAACTTAAAATATAACCTGTGCTTTATATATTATTTCCATTCTCCCCTCTGCCCTCATGTGCTGTATAATAGATGCTACTTTTTGACTTTGCTCAGCTTTTTCAGAAGTGCCTGTTTTGAAATCCAACATATTAATGGATGAGACCCAAAGCTGAAGCATTTAATTAAATGATGTGAAGTCTCTTTGCTTTGTCACTCCCTTGTCCTGATGCACTGAAGCAAGTAATGGAACTTGTCCCTCACTGGGGAGTCCTTCTCCTTGAAGTGTGTGTAAGGAACATGTACATGCCTCTTCATTCACACTTTCCAAAATAGCTTGAAGACTACACATATCAGCCAAGCAACATGCATAAATATCATTTCCTACATTTCAATAAAAAAGCATAGCAGTATCCAGTTTTGGGACCTGGGGTATTCAAGTGGCCTACTTGAGAGCAGAAAGGGTTTGAAAGTACTGTAACCATTCAGAGGCTGGACTTTTCTACACCAGTTCCAATTTCATCACAATTGGAATCCAAGCACTAAGTGAATGGGATATATTTTGCACCTAACTAACCTCTAGGTGGCGATGTGGTATATCAAAACAGTGCAAACACGCAAATGGAAAAAACGTTTTACTTCACTTTAAATGCTTTAAAAATACTTATGAGAAGTGCTCTTTGACAAAAAGAAGTAAAACAGGAAAGTTATGATGTCCTCTAAACAACCTGTAAAGAACTGTGAGTAGGGAATGATAAGTACACAACAAACGCCTTGGGTAGGAAAGCTCAATATCTTTTGATTTACCCTTGATGCACAAAAGTCCTATTTTCCATTGAAGTTTTCTTTGTTCATCAGCTTTCAAAGTGCTGCAGGAAAGTTTTTGAAAATAGTCTTAAGCACAATGAACTCTGCACTGGATCGTACTTAATGTTTAAAAAGTGTAATTCTTTTGTGCATCCTGAACATTATATGAAATATATACCAAGTGCTTTAAAACGCCTTTGATAGTCACATGCAACTAGGAGATCCTAAATGGCATTCCTGCATTGTAAAATGTGAATCTTTACGTTGCACAGTGTCAACTGACTCTTTCCTAACACCTGCACAAGAGACAGGAGCAGATACTCCCAAATGCAGCAAGTACTGTAGGTCAAGAGCCCTTGATAGGGTGGAAAAACAGAAATGACTGAACATTTCTATTTCATCATAACTAGTTTTTCAGTATTGGTAGCTGACTGAAGGTGAATTTGCATATAGTTTTGAATCCTTGTGCTTAATACTTGAAGGCTCACATGACAGGAAACTGCTTACATGAGTTGTTATTTAATGCATCATCTGCAATTCACTTCTTATCATCTCATCATAACATAAGGGATCCAAGCTGCTAGTGATCAGCTTGAGATGCACAGTGTTGTCACTTACATGGATGTTCTTATTGTGAATGGGGCAACATTGGGAAGAGCTATAAAACAGCCACTCTGCTAAATTTATCCTTGCTATTGGCTTAGGAAACAATAGGAAACAGCTCTAGATACAGCCTATATATAGAATTTATCTCCAAATAGCTCACAGTTCATTAATGAAGCTATTCTAAGGTATGCTATGCTGACATGAAAGGGCTTGCCCCACCCTGGATGGGGTATAAAAAATGTTATTCCAGCAACCATGTTAATGAGAACCCTACAGATGTTCAGCAGTTTTGGTAACAATTGTTCGTTCTGCACAGGCTGCCTGAAGGTTTCTAGGAGAAAAGCAACCCAAATAAAAGGTTATCACAGCATGAATAATTGTTGCAGAGGAGTTTCTTCATTTAACCACTTGAGTCCACCTCTGCCACTAGTGACAGTGTTGCAAGGAAGATTACCCCCTTTCAGACTCTGCAAAAAATGCACACTTGATTATTTAGGTTTAATATGAACAGTGTAAACACTGTTCACCCAGACAAATGAACAAGTCATAGACAGTTACTTCATCTTATTTGGACTGAAGCTCAATTTATTTGGCCTCATGCAGTCCTGAATGGGGTTCAAAACACTAAGCACCTCAATTCTGTTAGATGACAAGAATAAGTATAGCTGGATGCCATCGGTATATTGGTGATAGCTCAGTCCACATCCCAAGATAACTTGGGATACCAGTGTGCCAGAGTGAGAGTCAGTGTGGCGTAGTGGTTAAAAGCATGGGAATGGGACTCAGGCAATCTGGGTTCGAGTCCCCGCTCGGCCATGGAGCCAACTGGGTGACTTTGGGCCAGTCACAGACTCTCAGCCCAACCTACCTCACAGGGTTGTTGTTGTGGGGACAAGGTGGAGGAGGAGAATGATGTAAGCTGCCTTGAGCCCTTTGTAGGAAAAAGGCAGGCTATAAATTGAAAAAAAAAAAAAAAAAAACTAACTTTACCCAGCACTTCACACAGATGGTAAAAACCAGAGGCAACAAAATGAAGCTGAATTCGGTAGAAATTCTGCAGAATATGCACAGTAGACCAGTACAATGGGGATTTCATTATTTTCTGGTTGGTGATAACTCAGAAAAGCAATCTGTTAATCAAATTCCATTAACTACTGATAGTCTTTGGGAAACTGCTGGTTTTCTCCCTTCTTCCATTCATGTTCGAGTTAAAGCCCCTTCTTCTGTCCCTCCCATTCCTCTGTTCGTTTGCCACTTGCTGCTAGTGCCATCAGGTTCAACAGTGCAAATACTGTGTGCTTGTCTGTGCACAATAGAAGTCATGTGAAAGAGCCCTTGTTGCTGTACCCTGAACTGAGAGGTCCCCTGGGATGCTAGTGATCCCCTATAAAGGTTTTTGCATACTAATTGTAGCTAGGTTGAAATGCTAAAAATTTATTTCTTCAAAAAATATACTTCAAGGGCATATTAGGACAGAAAAGGGCTTTTGGTTCACATGCTGTTGATTTTGAGTTTTGGGAGAAAGGGGCTTTCACTGGCTGGCAGGCATCCATACTCCCCTCGCAGACAAAAGAGAAATGAGATACTGCTTTTATTGGATTGTCCTGCTGCAAATCAAATTCTCCATAGTCATTCCAAAATGAAAGAACAGTTTTAGCTTGCATAGTTTGAGCAATACCGTTTGTTATTGTTTGTGCTATAAGGCATGCATGGTTTTTCCTTATCAGTGTCTACAAACAGGGCTTTTCACTGTGAAATGGCAGGAAAATTCTCACCAAAGAAATGAATGAGCAGCAGTGAGAGGAGGCTGATTGGAAATCTGACAATATGGAATTGTTCCTGTAACATGCATATTGTTTTTATGATGGAAAACTGTGAAACAGACCAGTCTTTCAGACAGAGTAAAGCTGGACTTTGTCATTGAGTTAATATCATCTTACCATCTTCTTGTAGAATTTTCAAACATCTTAGAAAAATGGTTTGATAGTCTGTCTCTTCATTTCTTCTCATCCAGTGTTCATTCTTTTGCATATAAATTCTGTAGGTAAAATTTACTGGTGCAACTTTTAGCCATTTTTAGCATACTGGATAGTAATTGAAGTCAACTCAGTTTTGAGTTTGACCAGTTTAAAATGACAATGTTAGGGCTGTGCTACATTTTTACTTAAAGCATCCAACAATGGCATGGCGAAAGACATAGCATTTTGCTAATCTAACAGTATAATCATATTTATGCAGAAATAATCCCCCTGTATTCAATAAATTTAACTCCCGGGCATTGTTCATAGGCCTAACTTGCATTGGAAAAGGTGCTTTTATGAAGTAGCTACATTAAATGGCATCACTACACATAATCTGTGACATTACACTTTAGCAATGCATTCGGAAAGCTGTATTACACTGTCATCTTAAGATGCTCAAGAAATTGTGCTGTGAATATTCCCGAAGACAGGAAATGAGCAAAGGGTATGCTGAAGTTCAAGGGTTCAAAAGCTTTCTGTCCAGTGTGATTTAATATATAATGAGAGCCCAACAGAAATTAGCTTTGAAATTAGAACTGTGAGGAGACAGAAAGACAGGGACCAAGCTGCACGATAGGCACAGTATTCATGATGTGATCTCCCAACTTTTCAAAGAGGGTGAATGCAGTTGCAAGGGCCTGGCAATTCATTTTGGGTAATGGCTCTCACTCAGGTTGCAGCCTTATAGGGGGCAGAGCTAAGAGGAAACCCTACACTCTGCCAAAAACCTTGGAAAACACTGTCTTGTGTTCAAAAATTGCGGGTCAACTCAAGAGCTGAAAACTGCTACTTATACATGTGGGTGAGAATAATGAGGTATAGAATAATGAATGACTTAGGATGCCATCCTGTACCCATTTTTCTGATAGTCAGTCCCATTGAACTCAACAGAATCATCTTATACATGCATAGGATTGCACTTTTAAGTGGCGCTGAATTTCCGGCTCGCCCACTGAGCCATATTGCCTGGCAATGACTTTGGTGTCTCTTCACCATAATGCTGGAGGCTTGGATTTGCTTAGCTCTAACGGGCCCAGTTAATGTGATTTGCTTTCCTTGCCTCTCATTATCAAAGGACGTCCAATAAGTCGTCTGCTTTCTTTCCCATCTTGCTTTTCA